CTCTGACTCATGAAGAATTTCATCTCCCAGATGATACCTTGTATCTGGTCTCCTGCTTCCTACCCCTGTCTTCATTACATTACATTTGCTTGGGTTAAACTCTAACAACCATTTGTTCGACCATTCCTGCAGCTTGTCCATGTCGTCTTGAAGCCTCAAACTGTCCTCCTCTGTCTAAATCCTTCTCATAATTTTGGCAGCGTGTGTGTGATTATGTGTGTGTGTGTGTGTGTGTGTGTGTGTGTGTGTGTGTGTGTGTGTGTGTGTGTGTGTGTGTGTGTGTGTGTGTGTGTGTGTGTGTACGAGAGAAAGAGAGAGAAAAAGAATAGAAGGCGGGACGTTGGGAGCCGGTGGAGCGCTCATCAAAGCCGCACAAAGGCTTGGCGGCCTCCAGGTCTCTTGACAAACTGCGGTGATGAAATAAGTTCGGATATGAATTAGATTTCGCCGTGGGATCCTCGGGGTGGTGTCCGGAGCCGCTCTGCCTCACACAACCATGTCCAATCCCAGCACTAACACCCCTCCCCCCCCCCCCCCAAGATCTACTCCGGGACCGGCTGATAACTTGTGTTGAGCTGTGAGAGTTAGGTTGAGGGCGACCACCTGGTGAGTGTGTGAGTGTGTGTGAGTGTGTGTGTGTGTGTGTTTGTGATAGTTGTTTTGGGAGATGGAGATAAATATGATGTGAAATAAGATGGTAGGAACTTAAATATTCATTTGCTGGTTGGTCAGTAAGCTATTGTAGTGGCCTAATTACTCTCCAGAGGTTGATAGGCCTAAGACTCAACACCAAACTTGGTGGTTGGTGAGTAAGCTGTTGTCGTGGTCTTAATAACCCTCCAGAGGTTGACGAGCCAACCATACCTGCACAGCCCTGCATGGTAACTGATAACTCACATCTCGCCCAACACCAAACAAAAACACTTCACAACCCTATACATATACAACTTGCATCCAATTGGACCATACAGTAATCCTCCTTATTTCTCACCAATAGTCACAGCTTTGTTGGTCACAAACAATCATCTTGTTGCTTAAACTATGATATTATTACATTTTTATTTGAAAACTAGCAGTACCCGGCCACGCGTTGCTGTGGCACAGCAATGCATGTGCGTTGCTGAGCCACAGCAACTTTTCCCTGTCTCCCAGTCCTCCCCCCACCATTCCTCCCTCCCCCCATCCTTCTAACCATTCCCCAACTCCCCCGTCCCCTTGTCCTCCCCCCACCATTACCCCCACCATTACCCACCCTCCCCTGTCCCCCTCATCCTCCCTACCATCCCCCACTCCCGTCAACTCATCCTCCCCATCATTACTCACTCCTTCGTCCGATGTATTCCCAAATGATATGATGTTCCCATCAGAAAATTGGGAACATCAAATGATCTGATGTCCCATCACTTAAATATTAGAAAAACAATTGAAAAAAGTGTAGAAATTGAAAACAATAAAAAATAACAAAATAAACTATTCTCATGTAATGAACGGTATGGTAAACAACACAGCTCAATTCCAACTCAATCTCACACAAAATAATTAATCAAAATGAAAATAAATCAAAATCTATGAAAATGAAAATTTGTCAATGCAATTGGAAATATTGAAATGGAATCGTAACATATTTAGTATACCGTGTGATCCTCTTACGTGCACCTGATGGCGCTGTTTCTTAAAAAAAATTTTTTTTTTACCTGTCACAGGTTTGGCATCTATACTTATACTTACGAAATTATCGGTATGATAAACAACACAGCTAAATTCCAACGCAAAGTCACACAAAACAATTATATCAAAATTCAAATAAATTGAAATCTTTGAAATTCAATTTATCAATGCAATCGGAAACATTGAAATGGAATCGTAACATTTAGTATAGTGTGTGATGTTATTACGTGCAACAGATGGCTCTGGTTTAAAAAAAAATCGGTTTTACCTGTCACAGGTGTGGCATCTATATAATAGGTATAAAAACACGTGTTGTGAGGGGGAGGACGCCTGACACAGTCTTTGTGCCAGGCGGTCACACCCTCCCACAAGCACCTGGAACACTTGTGCTTGGTGGCTGAGGATGTGGTCTCATCTGCCTCAGGAGCGTGGTCTTTATTGGGGCATTCTTTAGTAGGATGGTTGCCAGCACAGAAGGCACAGGTGACTGGAGATCTACAGTGCTTGGCTATGTGACCAAAGTGGTGACATTTAAAACACATGACAGCTGAGGGGCACCCAGAGTGTTATGTGGCAGGCTGGTCAGTAGGGACCTTGGAACATGTGACGTCTGAGGAGTGGAGCCTCATCTTCCCAGACAATGACAATCCTGTTTAGTGGCCTCCCCCCCCCCAGACTTGATGCGTCTTGCACTGTACACACCTGGTAATGTTTTCGCACAGGAGATGTCAAGGTCATGAGGGTAGGATGTGACAAGGTATTCTTTGTATGTCCAAGAGCCCCCAGGAGAGTCGGCGTTACTGAATGTGATGGCACCCACACGACCTTGGAGTAGGGCAGAGATGGCGTCTTCACTGGATCTTGCTACATAGATGTAGGGTGAGGCGTGTCCGGGGATTATAATGTCTATGGGGTCAACAAAAGCAGGAGGGAGGTCACGTTTCATCGCGGAGTACCTCCCGTCACTGGTAACTTCAGGTGAAAATGCCAGCCTGGCATATTTACCCCGGGGTGCTGGAGGAGGTCCTGCTCCACCCAGTGTAGGGGTGGAATTGGTCACCTTGACCAATACCACCGAATAGCCGCGAGACTGTCACCTTGCTGTGAGGCTCCAGGGTCGATCAGCGGGTCATGCGTGCAGTCCGCAAGTACCATGAGCAGACATGTTGGGACCCGAAAGATGGTGAACTATGCCTGGCCAGGATGAAGCCAGAGGAAACTCTGGTGGAGGTCCGTAGCGATTTCGAAACTCTGGTGGAGGTCGGTAGGTCTGTTGGCTTTCGTGGCCTTTTTCTCTTTGCATATGGTACTCCGCCTTTTATTTGGGGTAACACCACAGTTCGAGGCTGCTTCATCACCTGAGCCGGTGTCCTCGTCATACTGGGATGTATTGGGATGGAGTGCTTCTCCATACTGTACGTCATGCGGGGTGGTGGCCGAAGTGGACGCAAAGGCGTCTGAAGCATTTTGGAAAGGATCAACCTCGTCACTGAGGATGTCCCCAGCAGGCTGGGGGGAAGGGGCCATAGTTGCCAGAATCACAACATGAAGTGACCAGACACGTCAGGTTCTACCACAGAGTAGCACTTCAGGCTCTGGTCCAGACCCAGAGCAAGAACGGCTGCTAATTATTATGCAGAGACAGGATGAGTAATTCAGACACCATACAAGCATTTTGACGTGTGTGCATGTTCAGCTGACAACGCTGCTGCGGGTACCTTCCTGGCAGTGTGGTTTCAGCTGGAGTGGCAGGTGCTCTAGAGTGGCAGGTGCTCTAGAGTGGCAGGTGCTCTAGAGTGGCAGGTGCTCTAGAGTGCCACACTGATACCTACTTTATCCGCGCACACTCACATGCGCGCTTAATAGTTCTCTGCACTGTATATAGCACTGCACTGGTACCACCAATAACACTAACTCACTGAGGCATCAGTATGCCCGAAACGCTGCGCGTACTAGTGGCTTTACAAGAATGTAATTACTATGCTATAGCGAGGCTATTTGAGCCACTCCTCACAGACCAATGTACCTGCCGTATATATATATGAAAATATATATATATATATAATATATATATATATATATATATTAAGGCGCCCTGTATATATATATATATATATATATATATATATAACTAAATAAATAAATAAATGAATAAAGTATAGCGGGGCGAGTGATAAATCAAATAAAACAAAACAAATGCTAAAGTCTACGGACTCGGGGCTCAGCATTCACAGATTTCGTGAAGGCGGGATAATTGTCAACCCGATTGTCGATAATTGTCATTAAAAGTTTAATGAGGCAATTCCTAAGTGTCTGTCCTCCATGCTCGGACAGACAGACGGACAGACAGACAGACAGACAGACAGACAGACAGACAGACGGACGGACGGACGGACGGACGGACGGACGGACGGACGGACGGACGGACGGACGGACGGACGGACGGACAGACGGACAGACAGACAGACAGACAGACAGACAGACAGACAGACAGACAGACAGACAGACAGACAGACAGACAGACAGACATACATACATACATACATACATACATACATACATACATTCTTATACATACAAAAGATTTACTCTTCGGCCCAATACGAGTCTCGTGTTGTTGTTTAAACTACAGAGAGAATATTATTCCCATATTAGAAGTTCAATGTTTAAGGCAATATTTTTTAGAAGTTCAAGTCATATTAATATATATAAGATGTATTTTATATACGCGTTATATCTTCATTCTTCGTGTTTGAGATCCCAGAGTTGGTGGGTCGTGCTTAGTGTCTCTAATTGAATACACGAACCAGATGCGAGAAGTTAGACCCGCTTGCCGCAGGGCTTCTGATTGGCAACCTGATCTGCAGATAACTAGTCAGTAGGAACTAGCCAGTAGGAACTAGTCAGTAAGAACTAGTCAGTAAGAACTAGCACCAGTCCTCTGAAGGGGAAGATAACTATCAGGAGAAAGCACCAAGCCATCACGCCTATATACCACTTGGAAGGGGTCAGGATGAAGATTTGGGATGGGACGGGGGGAAGGAATGGTGCCCAACCACTTGGACGGTCGGGGATTGAACGCTGACCTGCATGACGCAAGACTGTCGCTCTACCGTCCAGTCCAAGTGGTTGGGCTACCAGTCCTCTGAACACTTTAAGTAAATTGTTTTGTCTGCGACAAGAGTCTCGGGTTCAGTCGCCCATCAGAAGAACTTCAGGTTCAGACGCACGCCAGCCCATCAGAAGAGCCTCTAGTTCAGACGCACGCCAGCCCATCAGAAGAGCCTCGAGTTCATACGCACACCAGCCCATCAGAAGAGCCTTGAGTTCAGACGCACGCCAGCCCATCAGAAGAGCTTCGAGTTCAGACGCACGCCAGCCCATCAGAAGAGCCTCAAGTTCAGACGCACGCCAGCCCATCAGAAGAGCTTCGTGTTCAGACGCACGCCAGCCCATCAGAAGAGCCTCAAGTTCAGACGCACACCAGCCCATCAGAAGAGCCTCGGGTTCAGACGCACGCCAGCTCATCAGAAGAGCTTCGAGTTCAGACGCACGCCAGCCTATCAGAAGAGCCTCGAGCTCAGACGCACGCCAGCCAATCAGAAGAGCCTCAAGTTCAGACGCACCCCAGCCCATCAGAAGAGCCTCGAGTTCAGACGCACGCCAGCCAATCAGAAGAGCCTCTAGTTCAGATGCACGCTAGCCCATCAGAAGAACCTCTGGTTTAGACGCACACCAGCCCATCAGAAGAGCCTCTAGTTCAGATGCACGCCAGCCCATCAGAAGAACCTCGGGTTCAGACGCACGCCAGCCCATCAGAAGAGCGTCGGATTCAGACGCACGCCAGCCCATCAGAAGAGCCTCGGGTTCAGACGCACGCCAGCCCATCAGAAGAGCCTCGGGTTCAGACGCACACCAACCAATCAGAAGAGCGTCGAGTTCAGACGCACGCTAGCCCATCAGAAGAGACTCACTCAGGTTCAGACGCACACCAGCCCATCAGAAGAGCCTCAGGTTCAGACGCACGCATGCCCATCAGAAGAGCCTCGAGTTCAGACGCACGCCAGACCATCAGAAAAGCCTCGGGTTCAGACGCACGCCAGCCCATCAGAAGAGCCTCGGGTTCAGACGCACACCAGCCCATCAGAAGAGCGTCTAGTTCAGACGCACGCCAGCCCATCAGAATAGCCTCAGGTTCAGACGCACGCCAGACCATCAGAAGAGCCTCGGGTTCAGACGCACACCAGCCCATCAGAAGAGCCTCGGGTTCAGACGCACACCAGCCCATCAGAAGGGCCTCAGGTTCAGACGCACGCCGGCCCATCAGAAGAGCCTCAGGTTCAGACGCACGCTTGCCCATCAGAAGAGCCTCGAGTTCAGACGCACGCCAGCCCATCAGAAGAGCCTCAGGTTCAGACGCACGCCAGCCAATCAGAAGAGCTTCTAGTTCAGACGCCCTCCAGCCCATCAGAATAGCCTCAGGTTCAGACGCACGCCAGCCCATCAGAAGAGCCTCAGGTTCAGACGCACGCCAGCCCATCAGAAGAGCTTCTAATTCAGACGCACGCCAGCCCATCAGAATAGCCTCAGGTTCAGACGCACGCCAGCCCCTCAGAAGAGCCTCTAGTTCAGACGCACGTCAGCCCATCAGAAGAGCGTCGAGTTCAGAGGCACGCTAGCCCATCAGAAGAGCGTCGAGTTCAGAGGCACGCTAGCCCATCAGAAGAGCCTCGGGTTCAGACGCACGCCAACCCATCAGAAGAGCGTCGGGTTCAGACACACGCCATCCCATCAGAAGAACCTCAGGTTCAAAGGCACGCCAGCCCATCAGGAACTTCTCTCTTCGACAAAACATAACTGGTGCCGTGTGTGAGTGTCGGCGGTGCGGGGTTCCATGCATAATGGGATATGCTAATGACCCAGGAATAACTTTGCTGTAAAGTTGTCTCATTATGGTGATGAGGGAAGTCTACGCTAGTTGTCAACGTTCTGATTACTTTAACAGCCAGTAATTAGGGTAAGGATTTACTGCATATAATGGGGCCTCGTAGCCTGGTGGATAGCGCGCTGGACTCGTACTTCAGTGGCGCGGGTTCGATTCCCGCACGAGGCAGAAACAAATGGGTAAAGTTTCTTTCACCCTAAATGCCCCTGTTACCTAGCAGTAAATAGAAACCTGGGAGTTAGTCAGCTGTCACGGGCTGCTTCCTGGGGGTGGAGGCCTGGTCGAGGACCGGGCCGCGGGGACACTAGAAAAAGCCCCGAAATCATCTCAAGATAACCTCAAGATAATTTTCCCGCATATAGGGGTAAGACTTGTTACCGTGCGGCCCGTCTTGGGCGTACTTACAGTACCGACGGGGACCATAGTATGTATACCCACGAGCAGCGGAATTAGAAAGTTGAAATCGGTACTATTGAGTTGGACAAAGCGGAAAATAATTTTCTACTTACGTTGCAAAGACAAACTAAACTAAACTAACCTAACCTTCCTAGGCCTAATACCTAGAACACGATATCTGAGGTCTAATATGGTACATATGTGTGTTATACTAGGCCTAGGAATTTTTTTTTTTTTTGCTTAAATTTTTTTCTGACTATAAAGTCAATAGTACAAAGTTCTACTGTCTAACTGCTTAGAACGTCAATCTTTGTACTATGGTGCACATTGTTACACAAACCACTATTAAAAGAAGTGAATAGAGTATTTATGTATTTGCATCTGGAAACGTCACTGATCACCAGACATTGGTGCAACATTGCATGTTGCTCGCTAGAAGGCTGCTATCACACCTATATTGTTACTGAAGTTATTACCTGTGACGAGAAAGTACTAAGTCAGTATGGCAAAAGAGTCAAGTCATCTAAAATAAGCGCTCCTAAGCCTAATATACGCCTCCCTGGGAATAATTTAGTCCGTGTGAGCTCTGTACTGTCAGCTAGGGAAGTTTAGGTTCACTTGAGTTCATCTTGATCATGCTCTCTATAAAGTTAGTAGTGTTGAACGGGGACTTTTCTTAGTCGCATCAATCAATTTTTGCAAGTTCGAGAAAAAGTTGCAGTAAATATTATCATTTTCGGATGACAAGTTGAAGCTGGGATTTGAGGACAGAGGGAAAAAACGGTACCCAGCCACTTGAATGATCGGGGATCGAACGCCGACCCTGCAAGCCGCGAGGACGTCGCTCGACCGACAAGCCCAGGTAGATAAACAAAAAGGCAATTTAAGTGAATATTATCTATTATTTTAGACAACGATTCTAGTAAGAACTCTTGGTTGTGTTTAAATTCAGAGAACGAATTGTCATTACAGGTCGAACAGATTGTGGGGTCTGAGTCAGGACAACACAATACAACAGATTGTGGGGTCTGAGTCAGTACAACACAACAGATTGTTGGGTCTGAGTCAGGACAACACAATACAACAGATTGTGGGGTCTGAGTCAGGACAACACAACAGATTGTGGGGTCTGAGTCAGGACAACACAATACAACAGATTGTTGGGTCTGAGTCAGGACAACACAACAGATTGTGGGGTCTGAGTCAGGACAACACAATACAACAGATTGTTGGGTCTGAGTCAGGACAACACAATACAACAGATTGTGGGGTCTGAGTCAGTACAACACAACAGATTGTTGGGTCTGAGTCAGGACAACACAATACAACAGATTGTGGGGTCTGAGTCAAGTCAACACAACAGATTGTTGGGTCTGAGTCAGGACAACACAATACAACAGATTGTTGGGTCTGAGTCAAGTCAACACAATACAACAGATTGTTGGGTCTGAGTCAGGACAACACAATACAACAGATTGTTGGGTCTGAGTCAGGACAACACAACAGATTGTTGGGTCTGAGTCAGGACAACACAACAGATTGTGGGGTCTGAGTCAGGACAACACAATACAACAGATTGTTGGGTCTGAGTCAGGACAACACAACAGATTGTGGGGTCTGAGTCAGGACAACACAATACAACAGATTGTTGGGTCTGAGTCAACACAATACAACAGATTGTGGGGTCTGAGTCAAGTCAACACAATACAACAGATTGTTGGGTCTGAGTCAGGACAAAACAACACAACAGATTGTTGGGTCTGAGTCAGGACAACACAACAGATTGTGGGGTCTGAGTCAGGACAACACAACAGATTGTGGGGTCTGAGTCAGGACAACACAACAGATTGTGGGGTCTGAGTCAGGACAACACAATACAACAGATTGTTGGGTCTGAGTCAAGTCAACACAATACAACAGAGTGTTGGGTCTGAGTCAGGACAACACAATACAACAGATTGTTGGGTCTGAGTCAGGACAACACAACAGATTGTTGGGTCTGAGTCAGGACAACACAATACAACAGATTGTGGGGTCTGAGTCAGGACAACACAACAGATTGTGGGGTCTGAGTCAGGACAACACAACAGATTGTGGGGTCTGAGTCAGGACAACACAATACAACAGATTGTTGGGTCTCAGTTCAACACAACAGACCGGGAATCACGGAAGGCCATTACCCCTTTAGTTAGTACGATATATGTGAATCACTATGGAAGTTGCGGGCCTGGCGGGAATGTCTTATTCCCTGGCAACAAACCCAAGTCTTAACTTAACGAAGTCTTAACTTATCGAAGTCTCAACTTAACGAAGTCTCAACTTAACGAAGTCTCAACTTAACGAAGTCTTAATCTGTCTTCGTGTCAGGAATATGAAACAAAAGTAGTTGACGGTACATATGGAAATAGGGCTGGTAGAGAAGGTCAGAGATGAATATGACGGACCTGGGGCCTCAGAGCCGGAGAACACTACACAATGAGTAAATTCAAAGAAGCTGACTGATGCATAATACCACATATTCGAGACGTTTGAGCGGAAAAACACTCCCAAGACTTGGGTCTGAGAAAGTGTACCTGGAGATAAAAGGAAGGAGTAAGTGAGGATGACAGACATGTAGAGAGAATGCAACAGAATCATAAGAAATAAATAAAAAGTTATTTTACAAATGTTTCTTAGTGAATGTGATGGCAAGAACGTCATCAATGATAGGAGCATGGATCTTCTCGTCTTAAATAAGTTATTCAGATCTTGGAAAGGAATTTATGAACACAAATATAACTCCAGAAATCAATTTAAAAAAAGTTCCAAGAGATACTGGAGGCAGGCGCGGGACTCCACCTGTAAACTCATCATAGACTCGCCTACACACAGGACCTCTCGTAGCTCCATTGCCTTCTCTGTCCACCTCAGTTCATGTTTGATTCGATTGACAACAACCCTCCAGAACACTACTAAATTTAAACCTATTTTGATAAAAGTGACTACATCAACACATTCACCCTCGGCCGTGTTTACACTGGAATCTCCAGCGCCGGAACCTTTTGCCTCAGTTTCAAACACTGAATGAACTGAGATGGAAAGTTTAGCCAGATGAAGTCTGCATGGCCCATAACGTCTCCCTGGAACCATTTTAAAAGAATTAGTGTTCCAGAACAAATTTACACGATTTACAACCCGGCCTCTAACAAATTACGTGGCTTTCCGCTCATATGCGGCACGGCCAAAACAGGCGGTAATTTGAAAATGAAAAATAATTAAAAATAAATTTTGGATTTTTTTTCCAAAAGCAGCCACTTAGGGGTCCTCTGGTGGGTTGAAGGGCAGGAAGTTTTCCTATTGTTTCAAAACGTCATGAAAACCCATAATTGAAAGGTTTCTCTCCTAACCTAACAGCCTAAGCCAGAGGACCCAAAACAGGACAGTACGTCACTTGCGTGAGCCAATTTCATTTAGAATTACGTCCTTTTTTACCCGCGCATACGAGCGAAAAGCGACGTAATTTGTAAGAGGACGTGTCGCTAGCACCCTGAACGCTCGCCTGGCGCTGATCCATCAAACTCTTGGTAGAAACCCACCTACTAGTACCTACCTGTACGGGTCTGGCGCGTGTAGGTGTGGAGGGAACCCGGGCAAACACTAGTACCAGAGATAATATAATATTGTTTTTTAATGAATTCAATTTTTTTCTGCCAATACTTGTCGACAGATGTTCTCTAGCAAAATTAAACAAAATATTATTACAAATACTTACGCCTTCATTAGTAAGAAAACATTATATATGTACTCAACTTCTGCCTCTGCAGATGTTAATTTGAGCTTAGCAAAATGCGTCAGGGTCAGTATAAGTGTAACTCTTACCTAATTGTAATAGCCAAGATTTATTGCCAGCATCAAGCCTGGGGCTCTGGTAATGTGTATTGCTCTCTTAGTTGATTCATATTCACTGTGAATGTGTCCTCTGTTTCCACTGGCAGTCCCTCTAAGTGTTGTCCTCACTCTCTGTCTCTGTCTCTGTCTCTGTCTGTCTGTCTGTCTGTCTGTCTGTCTGTCTGTCTGTCTGTCTGTCTGTCTGTCTGTCTGTCTGTCTGTCTGTCTCTCTCTCTCTCTCTCTCTCTCTCTCTCTCTCTCTCTCTCTCTCTCTCTCTCTCTCTCTCTCTCTCTCTCTCTCTCTCTCTCTCTCTCTCTCTCTCTCTCTCTCTCTCTCTCTCTCTCTCTCTCTCTCTCTCTCTCTCTCTCTCTCTCTCTCTCTCTCTCTTCTAACAAGAAACTCTTTTGGCCTTTCTTCGTACTGTATCCCTTTCGTTCTGCAATGCTTCTTGTACAAACTTGTTTACCATT